TGTTATTATTGCTGCCCCATCCATTGGCAGGTGGCCATCAGGAAGATGTTTTGCCATCACTTTATGAAGGGCACTCTGCCATGTCTACAAGTCCATGTCCTCCACAAAAATATCATTAATGAAGCTCATTCTTTAGATTTCAAACTCTCCCTAAATAAAATTACAGTAGAGTCATACCCCATATCACCATCATTTGTCCAAATTGATGGAAGAGAAGATTAATATGGAAGCAACCATGTGCTCCTGAATCTACTGTGCTTCATATCATGCCCATCTGGACAAGTGTCCAACGAGGAGCTGTATCCAAAAGGGCATCTCTTTGTTGGGCATTTGCCATTTTGCATTATTAGGGGTAACAGCCAACTATTTATGTCCCCAAGCCTCTGCATCACCCATGAGCTTATAATTTGTCCAGAGGGGAATTTGATATATGTCTTCAGAGGGCACATCCGACAGGTGTGGACAAAGCCACGAGCCCCTTCACGTGCATGGCAGACACTCCGACGTAAAAAAAAAAAAAAAAAAAGAAAAAAAAAGAAAAAGGAAAAAAAAAAGAAAAAAAGGCCAGTGCAGCTTCCAAAGGTGGCATGAGTGTTAAACTCTAATAAACAAGCCCCGTCCGGGGAAGCTGAAAGCATCTGAGCCCTTCTCAACAAAGCATTTAATCCAGTCTGGCGTAACCTTTGACATTATTAGGGATCGCACTGACCCTAATCCAATCAGATTGATTAACTAAAGCAGAGACCCCATAAGCTGACCCCCCTCTGGCCTCTGCTATTTAGCCCTGGCCAAACAGTGGGAGCGACGTGCTGTATTTACACCACAATGGGTCCGCGCTGAGAACCTGTTTCATTACAGAGCGACTTAAACTCCCATTACTCCATCAATGTATCATTCTTCAATAGTTCATTAAAAGCTGCTCCTCCACAATAACTATTAACCATTTCTCAGTCCAGCTGGCAGGTTTAAAGCCCCGGCCAGTCCTTAGCAGAAGGAGGTGGGAGTGGGGGAAAGAAATAGATAGACAAGGGCTTTCTTTTTAAATTTAAACGAACCGGGGGCTTAAATAGTTTGAGGTAATTTACTTTTATTGAAAGGGGGAGGAGAGGGAGGAAACTTTTATTTTGACTTAATTATGTGCTTGGATCTTTTAAAGCAGGAGCACCATGATAAGCTTTTATTGTATTGCTTTTTCTAAGATCGGTTCATATGTTTGCCCTGAGATTCAGAGAGAGCTCGCATGGCATTTCAAGACTAGGAGATGCACCACGACTTAATTATGGGCCTGTGTCAGTGTCTTCAGCCTGAAGTAAATGCCAAACACAAGGGGAAAAACCCAATTCCCATAAGAGTAACTGAAGTTCAAGATGGAAAATGCCTGGTGGGTCTCATGATTCACTTTCCGTTGGCAGTGCAGTTGTGTTTCCCTCTTCTGCAGTCTCCAAAGTTTTACTCCATATATTTTTACAACTAGCTCAAAATTCTTTCCTTGATTTCCCTTCAGTCTTCTCAGACCTGGGAGATATGGAAATTCATGTACAAAAGGCTGGAACTCTTAGTCAAGCTATGGACTGGGTCTAACTTTGTGCTTAGGTAGAGCCACGTGCTACTCCGCCTCTTAACAAAGATGTAATAAAATTAGCAATCCCAATGACTGGTACAGAAGTGGGAATAGCATTTTTTTCCACTATAAACTTCTGTTAGAAAAGTTTAAGTGAAGAAAAGAAGTTTAGCCCATTATATATGACAGATGAACAGAGAGATAACCAGGTTCAGACATGAGGGAAGGAAATCAGGCTCACCTCCTTGCTCAAGAGGTGTCCTGTTTTTATTCCCAATAGTTTAGGATAACAAAGCCACCCATTTCCTAATGCTTTGCCCAATGGTGGCACCTGTCTGAAGTTCTCTCCCCATCTCCCTACAGCTGCTGTACTCTCCCAAGACAAAAAAAAAAAGAAAAGGAAAAACCATGACTCCCTTTGGACAGGGAACATTTATTCCATTGCCAAGGAAAGACAAAACTATGTGACCAAGCAGGATGGGGTGGAGAACTCGTATTGCCTGGGTACAGCTAGACAGACATGGAGCTATGTTGTGTCCACATGGCAGCGGGCCTTGACCCCTTGAATATTACCATTCCCTATTAGTCAGTCTCTGTTCTGCACAGCATTGCTGTTTAATATTTGATTTATCTCAGCTATGGATCTGTAAATATATATACATTTATATATATATATATCGAAACAGAATAGTTAGAAAAAAATGGGTTCTTACTTGCATAGGGACACCAGCATTCAGCCTCACAGTGAAAAAAAAGAGTCTCGTTTTGGGCGAGATACCAGAATATGGCTCCTGGTGACAGTTTGGCACTGTTGAATTAGCGCAAGAAAGAGCCTAGTCCTGAATTAGCAATGAGATACCAAAGCAGTGAGCACAGCACCGGCACTGCAGCAGCTTCAGTGAGATTTGGGTCTAGAAAGTGGTTCTGATTTGGGTCTAGAAAGTGGAGGCACTGAAATGAATTCCTTGCCATCAGAAATGTCCAGATACGTGTGTGAGGGAAAGGGGAGCTGCCTTAGTGATTGCAGTTGGTTTGTGCTGAGGTCTCTACTGACTTAGGTAACAAACTCCTATCGTCGATGCCTGAAGTTTTAAGCTACAAAATAGTTTTGCGTTCTTTCTGTCCGTCTTTTCCTCTCTTTCTTGCTTTCTGGGTAGTAGCTCAAATATGTTCCTACCCTGGGGGATCTGCCGCACAAGAATGTGACTGAGCTGTTTTTTTTCTCCCCCTCCTGCTGTAGGTGAAGCAAAACTGAAGGGTAGTTTGATTCTCCCTCAAGGAACAACATTCTTCAGTTATGAAATCGTCCCAACCTCCTTTACCTTGCTGAGCTGAAAACCTGCAATCTCCGGGCCTCAAGCAAGGGACAGACCCTTCGTGTCGATACAGTCGTGAGATAAGAGCATTTGGTGGCTGGTCAGCTCGAGGACCTGGTGGTCAGTGAGGAGAGCAGGGTTGTTCCCCTCCTGCAAGTCCTTCATGCTTCAGGAGATAAGATGTATCTTATCCAAGAGATGTCTATGGGAGAAGTCCTGGATTTTGCTGCACCAGGTAAACCCAAAACTATAGTCACCAGAGGGTGAGGTACCCAGAACATGTGTTTTAATTGCAAGGCAAGTATTTTGGTGGGGCTCTTTCATACAGTTTTAACTGCCCCATACTGCAGACCGCTCAGTGGGTCTTATTTTGCCGTGGCCTCTCACCAATGCACAGAAAGAGTGCTGCTACTGTTAGCACCGTGTCTCGGCTCCCTGGCCATAACAGGATAACAGCATCAGCCCATCAGCTGAAATCACCAGTTCTCCTGCTGCGTGCATATAAAATGCCTGTTTGGGCCAGTGGAGCCCCACCACAATAGGCCCTGCCATGATACAAATCAAGGCTTTGTTCCCCGTTGGCCGCCGTGATGCTCTCTGGCGTATTTTTTAAAATTCGCGCAGGAGGAAATGTCCAAGTCTCTTCTGAGCAACACAGCAGGGGAAAAACAAACAAAACCCCAATGGCAGCCCCTGTCTGCTGAAGGCGAGCGCTGGAGGAGCGCGCTGAACGTGGGAGATCAGCTGCATGCATGGGGATTCAGAAATGCGTCCAGACAGTCTCTCCTCTCCTCATATGAGGTCAAGTGGCATTGCTTTGCTACACAAGACAAAGTGATTTCAAATGTCAGCCCTATCAGAAAGCTGTAACTGTTTCTGTAATCGGAGACAAAAATTAAAAAAAAAAAAAAAAAGAGAGGATTTCCAAGCCTCCTTTGCTGTTGCTCTGTTATGAGAAGGCAGAATATATAATATATATGCTTTGCTTAGGGCATCTGGAATTATCTTCTTGGCAGGAATTAAAAGCAAAGCAAATCTGTCGCTCATATGAACTCACCGGTGTTAGAGGGAAATGCAGAGCCTGCCTGACCCAGACATACTGAACCCAGCAGAATCAGGAGGGGTTTTACAAGTCAAGATGCAAAAGCAATGCGGGATAAAACACTACTTGGGAGAGAAAATAGGCTCCTACTAACAAAAGGGGAAAAAGACCAGATATTCAGAGTCAAGTGTTTAAATGCTATTGCATTCAGCAGCTTAGGACCAAACATTACTAGTATCTTCCACTTATGTCAGTGGGACCTGCATCAGAGGTGATTACCTGAATTACTACCCTTGGTTTTGTCTTGATTTGCCACTTTCAAGACCAGTGAAAGCTGAGCTGTTAATTGAGGGGGATTTCCTCAGGCCTGTGATCTTCCTTGTATCCCAATACAGTATTAACTCTGATAGTCTCGTCCTTAGGAACCACCTCCAATTGGGATGGAGTTTAGATCTGTATTGTGGTGTGTCACCACCTATCATTTCCCCTCTGCAATCGCCAAGAGAACCTAAAAAGGCACCACAAAGTGCCATGAGGTCAGAAAATAAGAAAGATGTCCAGCCTGACCACTGAAGACACAATTGCCCCATTCCTTTGTGCTCCTCACAATGGGCAGGTTATAGGAGCAGAGGATAATTCTTGTTGAAGGGGACCTAAGGACATCTCTTGTCCAACCTCCTGCTCCAAGCCAGATCAGCAATGACCCAGTTTTCCAGGCTGCCCATGTGATCCCAGCAGAGGTTTGGAGGTTGGAATAGCTGTTACCTGTGAGTGAATATTCACCATATAATAAGGTGAACTGCCACTCTCCCTACACTGGGCAGACAAAATGACTAGCTATTTCTGTGATAAGATATAGTTACCTTGTGTCTAGCAAAGGCACTCTAGATCAAGCCTGAATTGCTTGGATGAGGTCCTGGGGGGAAAAAATATTCCCCATTTCTCCAAGCTCAATGCTTGCCCTTATTAGTCCATTTCACATGGCTCTTTATCACACATCATGGGAAGCAAGCAGCAGTTCATAGTCGACTTCCAGAGATCTTTGCTGTTACTCTCCCCACGAACATTGCACTTGACTCACCTTTATCCAGCACGGGCCCAAAGATGGCTAAGCTGTCATTGACGGTTGTGCAGTTCCACCTCCTCCCTCGAAACTGGTGCTGGCACTCCTGGATCCCGATCTTCACCCCTTCTGCCACGCTGGGCATGATCTCCACATAGTTCCGACAAAAGCGCAGCTGCTTGGGGACCAGTCCTGGGATGCTCCCGCAGAGGATGGGCTGAGTCCCCAAGGATGAATATTGGTGACCAATTGCCAAGGACCTGGAAATAAAAAAAACAGAAGGAAAAGGGGATGCTGTCAGGCTGACTATGATCTTCATACTTGTGGGACAGAAAATCCATATTTTCTGTTCCTTTGGGTCTCTCTCTTCTCCAGAGAGCATTCCTCCCACCATCAAGCCTCCCCAAAACAGAATAATCTATCTTCTGAAATCTCCTTAGGGCCTAGCAAGAATTTTTTTTTTCTGAAATCCGAGCCCACCTATACAAAATCAGGTAGGTTTGACAAAAAAAATGCAGCTTAGGAGGATCAGGGATTAGAAAGAAGAAAGCATTTTCAGAGTTACACATGGTAGTAACACTGTATTTCCCCCCTTTGGAAAGGGGAACACCAAGAATGACAACCCTTTTACAATTCACCAGTGAGCCCTATATGGCTGAACTTTACCAAGTAACTTCTGTGCACTGAAACTGCCCCTGAAGATTCAAGCAGTTTCGACCTCAAGAGCTTAAAAAGACTGGCTGTGAGCCAGATGCTGCGGGAGGGATATGTAAATTCACTACCTTGTGACACTTTCATAAGCAGTTAAATTTCCTCTGCTAAGCAGTTAAATTTCCTGTGCTATAGAGGAAAACGGATGAAAATACAGTCCTTCCAGAAACTAAATAATTTGAGGAAAGATTCTTCTATGGCGCAGTGTGGGTCCAACATCAATATTACTTCCCTGGGTGAGAAATGGCACGCAGAAATACTCATGTATGTGTGCATGCAAGTCAGGGCCACGGCTGGCATGTTTGCAACCTCTCTGAAAGGAAGGTCTGAAAACTTTTTTTTGCTGTTTATTAGTATATTTCCACACATGTTTAATTTACATGTGTGCTTTGATGGCAGTGTCCATGAACCACTATGTTGGTTGAAGCCTTAGAGACAGACAAGACAGCTCTGAAGAGAGATCAGTAGATATATAACTAATTAGATTTTAAAGTGTTTTTCCTTGTGCTTCTAATAATAAACTTGATTACTAAAACTGAAGGAATTCTTAAAATATAATTTCCTTTTATTCTAATTAAATCTTTGGATTGACTTTTCTGCTCAGAATTAATGACAAGCAAACCTGCTCGGGCAGTATGCATTTCTGTTTATATTAACTTTTTGCTATGTGGTTTTTAATATGGGAGCACCTTAGTGCATTTGAATTATCAACTGAGCAGTCAAAGAACATGTCTTTACTCTGTTTTGCACAAACTAAAAAAAAAATGCAAGAGTTCTATCAGTGCTAGAGTACAAAAGAAAATTAACTTGACTCTAGAATTTCTGTGTACATGGATAAAAGTTGTTTGAAAGTGTCAATGCCATTAGGAGAAAAAAAAAGGTGCTTATTGACAGATAGATGCCTTCCTGGTGGATCCCCTACCATGAAGGCACAGAGGTGGAAAGGAGATCAACATCCAGATATTCAGCTGCCAGTATCACTGCAAAAGATTTTAGGTTGAGCTCAGAAGCTTTTCTAGGTGTCCATAGACTAAGCCTCTCAAATCAATCCTTTCCAGGCAGTTCGGGCAGAGGAATATTCAGTTCTGGATCCCACATTTCAGAATATTTCAGAATATTTCAGAATATTTAAGGTTGGAAGGGACCTCTACAGATCATCTAGTCCAACCTTCCTGCTCAAGCAGGCACACCTAGAGCATGTGGCACAGGGTGGCATCCAGGCGGGTTTTGAAGACCTCCAGAGAAGGAGACTCCACAACCTCCCTGGGCAGCCTGTTCCAGTGCTCTGTCACCCTAACAGTAAAGAAGTTCCTCCTCACCTGGAGACGGAACTTCTTGTGTTTCAGCTTGTGGCCATTACCCCTCGTCCTATCGCTGGCCACCAGTGAGAACAGCCTGTCCCCTTCCTCCCTGCATTCTCCCTTCCTGAACTTATACATATTAATCATATCCCCTCTGAGCCGCCTCTTCTCCAGAGAAAACAGGCCCAGCTCGCTCAGCCTCTCTTCATACGAGAGATGTTCCATTCCCTTAATCCTAGGTAAGAGACTGACTCCCAAAGAATCAGCTTAGCCAAGATGATGCCCTTCATGACATTGCCCAATGTGCCTGGGAAAGCAAATGGCTTTCAGCTCATTTCCTAAATTAGTCTCCTATATTCCACATCAGCTGCAATTCTTGGGAAAAGGTTATCTCTTCTAAAATCAGCAGAAAATCCATCCCAACTTAAGGAAGAACAAGGAGACAAGTAGCATGAATTGTCCTCTAGAAGTGCTTCCTTCTTTACATTACACTAAAAAAAGGAGCCCAGGCAGCTCACATATTGACTGGGAATTCTGATCATCTCACCTGCCTTCAGATGTCTGCAGCACAGGAATCTCCAAGCCAAACTACTCACCCCAGGCTGCTTTTGTAATCAGTGGAGAGAAACAGGCACTTCTAAGTGCCTGCCATTCATCTGCAGTATTTTAGATGTCTGCTATACGATGAGATGAATCATGCCCTTAACTCTGCTGACCATATTGACTAGACGTCATTGGCTATCAAGATAGCCTGGTTGAGTAGTATATGTCTGCACTGCAAAAGTCCCCACATGAATCATGGCATAATACTTAATATTTGGGGTGGCTAAATTAGATGAAAAAAGTCCTACCCAGGATAGTTAAGTGCTGTGTTGGATCCCATTCAAACAGCTCAGTTCTCTTGTAGGAAATGGGCAAGTTCCTGCAGGAGTCCACAAGAAACGACAGAGAAGAAGACCCAGCTAACTTGTTTCCCTGAAGTCCTGAAGAATGTGGCTTCATGCAGGTCATCTTGAGTTTTGGACTAAGGGAACCACTAGTGATTGAAAAACATCGGTGAGATGTATCCCATGGCAGGTCAAAGGGTGTTTCTCTCTGTATATTTCTGTTTCACTGGTAAGTTATATGCATAACATTCGTGGACCAAGCAAAGTGGTCTAAAGGTCTACCTTGAGCTTCAGAGGACCTTCTGAACCTTCAGAGGACCTATCCTTCAGAGAATAGTTCTTCCACTAGATGGAAGGATTAGAAGGAGGCTAGGATGGCTATTTTCGATACCTATTTCTACATAAATAGACTAGACAGAAGCATTCTTTCTAAAACATTCAAGAGAGTCTAACTCTCAGTTTGACTGTTCCTTCTGAGGGAAAAGTTTCCACTCAGTTATGATCAGTGGTAGGCTCCATCCATTACCTTGTGAAGCCAAGGAGACATATCTAGATCTATTTTAGTAGGACCTGGATGAAGTTTTAGGATTCCAGTCTCATAAGCTCTCATTTATGTGAAAAGTCATGGTCATGCTCATGTCTATGTTTTTCAGTGACTGGCAAAAGTACAGTAAAAAGACCCGTCGTGGGAAAAGTTGTTTATAGGTTGACGTCTTCAACCATTTGTTTCCGTTGCTGGGAAGATGATCTAAGATTAAAAAAAAAATGTAGAAATATTTCTAATTGCTTTTCACACAACTCCCTTCTCAATACAGTAGGGAAACGGTCACACCTTGCTTTGATCTGTGTTACAGTCTGGAAAGTTTAATCTGCAAAAGACAATCTCCAGCAAGAGTCTTGTTCTCAAGGCGTCATCAGGCACTGAGACAAGGTAATGTAAATTTGGCTTTTTATGGAGGAGTGTGTAGTCACTTGACTTTCAGTTTAAGATCCAGGGTGGAATCTCAAAACATCTCTCCATGAACAGGTGTCTCTGCTGTTAAATACAGCCCAATTCAGTCCTCTTTCTAATTCACCTCCAAAGTGATTATATCAACCAGAGCACCTTCCCTGGGTCTTTACTTTGCTTCCAGCATCCAGATGAAAACACATTTTTCTCTCATTCTCTAAAGTTAATTTATCTTTAGGAGAACCAAGTTCTTTCAACCTTCTGTCATTTTTATTGATCACGACATGAAAAAAACCCACCTCAAAACAGAACTCCAACCTTTGGAAAACATTGGGAAAGCCTGTAAAGATGAGAATCTCATTCCACTGTTACACAACTTTCTAGTAGCTCCCATCATTCATTTCTCTCACTGTTTCCATTGATCAAATCTGTCTTCTGCATCTTCCACTCTCCTGCAATGTGCTTCTAAGCTGTCTTCTGCATGTTGGTAATTTTGTGGAGAAATGGGCCAATTGTCAAGTATTGTCATGTAATCAAAAATCACCTTTAAATTTAAGTACCAGCACTTCCTGGTCACTTTATCATCACCCTCACCTTTTTTGACAGGGATTCTCAAAACATTCAACTTTTCAAAAACATTTATATCCAATGGGTACTGTTTAAGCCTGGATCAACAGAAAGCAAAAAATAGCTTTTTTTTTTTTTTTAAACAAATTATTTTTTTTTCTTCCCATTAGCTTGAACAGACCATGAAAGTATGATTTTGCATGCCCACAGTCAAAGTTCTTGTCTTATCTTTAAGCCTTGCATGCCCTGAAGTGTTTAGTTCAGCCTTCGCTGAGCATTTTTCTTTGCCAACATACCTAGAGAGCTCTTTGTTTCCTTTATCTCAGTCTACCTGCTCCTTCAGTAAAACAGTTGCAAAAAAGTGCATAGTCACTTTTTTAATAAATTACATGTACCTTCCTTCTTAGAATGGACACCACAGCCAGTTTATGATGAAAAAATATATGCTGATAGTTTCTTCGAAAAAAAGAGAAGACATTTTGAATGACTTTGCTATAAAGTAGAAATTCTTGACACCACTCTACTGACTTTTCAAGATTCCTTCCTTCTCAATATAGTTATACAAAGTCCTTGACACATCAGTAGTAGCATGTAGAGGGGTGTAAACCTACTTGCTTCTTCCTGAACTCTAATTTTCTTGAAGTCTCTAGGAGTTCTATTCATCTTGGAGAGGCCCTTTGCCAGCTCCAAGTACTTCTGGGGTCCAAGCACAAGTGAAATAATTTCACTTATTATTGTTGTACAGCAAGAATGAAACTTGTTCAATGACCCAACATAAGATCCAGAGAATATTTAATATTTCCTGCTGAGTATTGAGAACTGAGCAATAGCAGTGGCACTTCTCCTCTTGCCTTCTCACAAAGATGACAGGTACAGATGGAGTTAGGCCCAGTTCAGAGGCTGAGTTATGTTAAAAGAAGTCCATCTCCTTATGGCAGAAGTCATTTATATTCTTCTGTTGTTCCTTTTG